CGACGTAGTATCGTTATAGGCTATCTATGGCCTATAACGACGTAGTGTCGCTATAGGCCATAGCGTCACTTTAACAATTTCGTATTTTTTAAAAATGTTTACTTATTTTTTTAAAATTTATTATTTTATATTGAAAATGGGGTGTTGTAGCCTGTAGGTTATATCGACTTTATTGGAGCCGTTTTGTGTCGCTATGGGCTGAGCGACATTATTAATATGGCTTTCATAGCTTACCTGGAGTAAAAAAAATGCCACGTGTCACCGGTGTTGCTATAGTCCATAGCAACACCGTTATAAACAGTCCCAAAGGCGTAAATACTTTCAAAACAGCCCCATTTACATAATAAAGTTTTAAAACAACCTCACTTTGGTCAAAAAGCCCTTATTCTTTCTTCTTCTCTACTCCCTTTCATTTTTTATTTTCTCCATCTTCGGCTCTGGTAGCAATCTTGTTTTTCTGGTATGGCAAAAATCTTGTAAGTAGTTTTTTTTTATTTTAATTATTTTGATATATTGTTATATTAAAAAATAAAAAGTTATGAAATGATATATTTATAATTTTATATGTTAGATATGTTAATTAGTTAAATGTGTTATTTTGCAGGTTATAAAAGATTTGTAGATAATTTTGAAAATTATTTACAAGTATATAGATTTTTATTTATTTTAAATAAATTGTATATTTTAAATTAAAGTAATGTATATAGTTTTAAATACAATATCTTGTAAGTATGTTAGTGTGGTAGAAAATTGTTGTATGTTTAATTTATATTTTGAAGTAATCTAAAGTTGTATTATTTGTGTTAGTAGAAATATTCTAAAATATTATATTTTATTTAGTATGTTGATGTGTTTATTAATGAAAAAAAAAAGATGTTGATTAAATTTATTTGACATGAATATAAAATACTATAATATTTAATAATTTTGTGTAATTGTGATTAATGCTTTGGTGAAAATATACTTTGTTTGTGTATTATATTTAATAAAATCCATATGTTAATTGTTTTATATTTATCATAAAGCATAATTTAAAAGAAATAATAATGGTAATTTAAAATATATAAATATATAAGTAGTATTTGAAGTCATATATAAAAATAGTAATGACTTAATATAAAAAATAATTAAATTTAAAAATAAATAGTTAACGATAAGTGTCGATCTACACTGTTGATTTCGTTGGTGCGATTAAGACTATTTTTTTTCCCTGTCACTAGAAGATAAATGTTCTGAAGCATGAACAGTGCTCTTTACAAGATTGGGATGATCTACATCGTTGATTTTTTCGGTGCGATCAAGGCCGTTCCTTTTTCCTGTCACTAGAAGACAAATCTTCTAACGCATGAACAATGCTCCTTACAAGATCCAGACGATCTACACCATTTATCGAGATAAATCTTCTTGTTCATTTTCATTATAACGAATAAATTATCACATTTCTTAATCAATTTCTATGTGAAAAAATCTTTTTTTTATTCAATTTCTAGTTTTATTAGATTAAGGAAGATGAAAAAGAAAATGTCTATTTCATCCTTTTTTGAAGTGTGAGTATAAAAAAGCTTTTTATTACTTAAATGATATATATTAAATGCATTCATCTTACAAATGAAGTGATTCATCTTAGAGATTACTTGTCATCATAACTTATTGTCTATTCTAATTTGTCTTATAGTATGACCTGAAAAATGTCTAAGTTTATTATCATTAAAATATATGTTGTGAAGGATCCAAAATTATTTTTTTATCTAACATAAACTTATATACCACTTGAGTCATATTTGTTAACTATTGATTAATTATTTTTTTTTTGAATCAAATCCAATAGTATCCATTCTTACTAATTTTTGTTTAGGAATTTGCGTGCAACATCTTAGATTTCATTTTTCTAAATTTGTTTAGGTAATTATTAATTGATTCATTATGAGATCCATTTATATTAAGAAAATCCACTAAAATAACTTTTGTTTCTCCTCAAAAGAAATATTCATGAAAACTTCCTTCTAATTGCATCCAATTTTTAATTGAGTTTTGTTGTAAAGTTATAAATCAAGTAAATGCATTTTTATTTAAAGAGCTTGAAAAATATTCTATTTTTAAATGCTAATTTGCAATTATCTTCATGCTCTACTTGATATCTTTTTTTGTGTTCCACTATGAACTCCCCTATTGTCCCAACAAATTTTGAGAACTTAGGGACTTTAACATCCCTTATTAATTCAGCTTGTATTATGTACTTAGGAAAGACAAGTATGAAATTAAGGTCATTGTAATAATCTACATTGAAATCATGTCTATTCAACACTTTTTTAATCATAAAATCCATATTTTCATTTTAAGTTTGGTTAATTTGACCTTGAGGGTTTCGATTTTGTTATGTATGGTTTCCATGTGAACTTGCATTTTATTCATTTTTAAAGATAGATGACTTATGGATAAGGCATGAAGTAATTAAAAGGAATTTCCATATTAATTGATTGTGTTGTTCACTAATTTAGAAGCATATCCCATGAATATTCTCTTGTAACTTGATTTACCATGGGGGTTGAGTTAAACCCCCACTTTGTTCTACAAGATTTTCTATTACTGGGAAACAATTGATAGCAAGCTTAAGGCTTACAAGTTACTAGCTGACTTTCTTTCTCTTTATCAGAAGAAAACTTAACACTCAAAGAAAAGTAAAAGTCTACCTTACAATAAATAAAGAATCAAAGTACGTACGTAGGATTATTTCTCAATTGTTTCAAAAGTCAAATCGAATATTCAAAGCAAACTATATAAAAAGGATTTAAAGTCCAAAGCAATGTGATGGGACTAAGACTTTTATGCTATATGCATGCTAAAAAACGGTCTGATCCGTTCATTTTGCTCATACTTTTCTAGACAAATATGATTCAAACTTAAACATTTTTTAATTTGCTTTGCACAAATATATTGGACCTATGCTAAACTTTTATAATTTTTCTTTCTGAGTTGATGGTATGTAACATTTAAACTATTTGTCTGTGAAATTATGAAGGGATTTGATGTTACTCGGATGTGTAATATTTGTGAATAAAAATTAGGATTTTAAAGCGGGAACCTCTTGTGTTTTTCTCTCTTATACTCCCTTAGTTCATATCTAATTTGAGGTATTATCAACTATTTTCCTTTCGAAACTTTTCCTCTCTTTCACACTTCAATGGCACCCCACTTTGACTCATAAATGTGGTCTAACAGGGTGGCTGCATTATTGATCACAAAATCTAGCCTTCCAAGGTTTCAACCTTACCCAAATTGTTCCATTTCACTTCCTACATAAAGACACTTAATTTCCATAATTTAATACACTTTAACAATAAAAAATTTAAATAAAAAAAATGCAACCGAACACACAGGGGTTAATAGTGCATTAAAAGTTGACTAAGCAATGTCATAAATGCGTCTCTAAACGTAATTTGAACTCCATTTGTACAAGGAACCACAACGCAACATTGAAAAACAAAGAAAAGGACCATACAAAATGGGAGGATAATCGTGTGTTTAAAAACTTTGAAATTTGTCCTCAAAAAAAAAAAAAAGAAAAAAACTTTGAAGTTATGTATGGGTTATGAAAAATGGTGAGCGTTGTGTATTTATGTGACATATATTTCGACGAAAACCCAACTTTTAAGTCTTTGCATTATTGGGGTAAAAAAAAGTCTTTGCTTTATTGGTGTAAAAAATAGTCTTTGCATTATTTTTATTTTTTTTTTGTTTATGATGCGATTCATCTCCATATTTAAATTAATTTGTCTATTCAAGTACTTTTCTTATTCTTAATTAAATGAAAAATGATAGATATTTTTACAAAAAAAATCACTTTAGGAAAAAAAATGAACAATGATTTTATGAAATATTATTGTTATCACGTTTTGTAAATTTAGTCTTAATATAACAAATTATGTGTATTAAATTAGATAGGATTATTTTTCACTGTTAAATATTATGTTCTCATCACATGAGGCAAAATTAATTTATAATGTATTAAATTTTAATTATATCTTATAATTAAAACTTATTTTTAACTTTCAATCTTATTTTATGTTAATTTATAACTTTTTAATTCTTTGAAACCCTAATTGTATACTCCAATATAATGTTTATTGCTAATCCCTTGAGCGACCTAATAAAAATGACCGTATTAAATATATGTACTCATGTTTAAATATTCATATTTTAAGCTATTTTGATACTTTAAATTGTTTTGACATTATTTACACCATTTTAAAAGAGATATTAATAGATATAAAAAAATCTTATCCCAGAATCCTTTCATCTTCTTTCATATATCATCTTTATATTAGTTGTGTTTAATTGTAATATTATTTTTCCTTCAAAAACAAAATTACTGCATAAAGAAAATTTTCAATGTAGTTAGCATGTGATTTAGTCTAAAAAAACACTTATTGCAAGCTACTACAAAGACAAGACAAACTAAATAATTTACTTATATATTATGAACTTTTTCAAATGGTTTGTTTAAAAATATATAAAATCTCTACAAAGATATATAATATTAAATCATGATAGAAAGATAAAATGTTAAACTATTACTATAAATATTATTTAAATATAAAGACAAAAAACACTGTGGTACACTGGTACCCTAATAGATTTTATATTGCATAGTTAAGAATCGTATTCAAAACTAACCCAATAATTGACAAAAATAATATATTTTAATATATTTTTCAATCTCCACTAATTTAAATAATTAAATTTTTATCCGCAGCGTGTCCTTATCTACTATATTTAAAGGTGAAAGCTTTGCCGACTTTAATGCGGCATTTTATTAAAAGTAATCTAATCGGATGTTAAAGGAACAATATTGTTCATATTTTCTTAATTCTTCTTTTATTATTATTTTTAATTTTAAAAATCCAGTGTTGAGACTTTTGTTGACTAGTTCTTCGAGAAGTGAATTAGTACACAGAGCCCAGCACTCTTTATATGTTACCATGGAGCTTCACTAACTCCATCATATATGGTTCTGTCTCCTAATCTCATCAACAAAACTACGTACAATGAGTCTTTATTTTCTGACAATATTTTATGCGCTGCTCCACGGCTCACTTAAAAGTGGGGAGGCAAAGTGCATAGAGAGGGAGAGACAAGCACTCCTCAACTTCAAACAAAGTCTCTTAGATGACTATGGCATCTTGTCTACATGGAGTGACTATGACGATGATTGTTGTAAATGGAAAGGCATTCGGTGCAACAATGAAACTGGTCACATACAACTACTTCATCTTCCTTGTACAGATACACAATTTTTGAGAGGTGCAATTGATCTCACTTCATTGAAACCCTTGCAAAATATTCAACATCTTGATCTCAGCAATAATGATTTTCAATGGACTCACATCCCAGAAGAGCTCAAGGGCTCTTTCACCAACTTAACATATCTCAATCTCTCATATTCTACATTTGGTGGGAGCATTCCTTCTAAACTTGGAGATCTTTCACAACTACAATATCTAGACCTCGGAAGGAATTATCTCCATGGAGTAATTCCTTTTCAGATTGAGAATCTTAGACAGTTACAATATCTTGATCTCGGACACAATGATCTTTCGGGAGAAATCCCGTATCAAATTAAGAATCTCAAACAGCTACAATATCTTAATCTCGGAAGAAATACTCTTTCTGGAGGTATCCCTTTTCAGGCAGGAAATCTTCCTCTCTTGCATACTCTCCGGCTGGGTGGCAATTTTGATATAAAAGATAAGGATGTAAAGTGGTTCTCTAATCTTTCTTCTTTAACAACTCTTGAGTTCACTTCATCATACAATCTTATTCACTCTCGTCACATGCTACAAATTATTGGTAAGTTTATTCCAAACTTAAGAGAGTTGAGACTTGTTGATTGTTCTCTCTCAGATGCTGATATCAGATCTTTGTTTTATTCTCATTCCACTTCTCTTACCATTCTTGATCTTTCTTCTAATGTGCTAACATCCTCAACATTTCAATTGTTGTTCAATTTTAGCCTTAACCTGCAGGAGCTTTATCTTTCTCAAAATAACATTGCTTTGACATCTCCTCTTTATCCCCATTTTCCATCTCTTAAGATCCTTGACCTTTCTTATAATAATCTCACATCATCAATGTTTCAAGGTAATTTTAATTTTGGATCAAAACTAAAAGAACTTCATCTACAAAACTGCAGTCTTACAGATAGAAGTTTTTTTGTTTCATCTACTTCCACAATGAATTCCTCATCTTCTCTTCTCTACCTTCGTCTTTCCAATAACTTGCTGAAGTCATCTACTATATTTCATTGGCTTTTTAATTTCACTACCAATATTCATACCCTTTACCTTTATGATAACTTGTTAGAAGGTCCCATTCCAGATAAATTTGGTAAAGCCATGAAATCTCTAGAAGATCTTGACCTCTCCGATAACAAAATACAAAGTAAGATTCCGTCTTTCTTTGGGAATATGTGCAAATTGCAGAGATTATACCTCTCAAATAATAAGTTGAATGGTGAAATTTCTAGCTTCTTTCAAAATTCTTCATGGTGCAACAGACACATATTTCAAACTTTGGATTTGTCTTATAACCAAATTTCTGGTAAGATACCTAAAAGCATCAGATTGCTATCTGAGTTGGAGGGCTTATCCTTGGAGGGGAATTCTTTAGTAGGTGACATCACTGAATCTCATCTTTCTAATTTTTCCAAATTAGAATTCTTATGGTTATCATACAACTCATTGTCTCTAAAATTTGTCCCTAGCTGGATTCCTCCTTTTAAATTAAAATATTTGGGTGTAGGATCTTGCAAGCTAGGCCCAACTTTTCCTAGTTGGCTCCATACTCAAAGTTCCTTAGTTGATTTAGATTTATCTGATAATGGGCTTAATGATTTTGTACCAGAATGGTTATGGAACAACTTGCAAATTATGTACCAGTTGAATATGTCTCACAATAGTCTCATTGGTGAAATTCCTAATATACCATTGGAACTTTCTGGAAGACCATCTATAAATCTGGTTGCAAATCAATTTGAGGGCAAAGTTCCGTCATTTTTGCTTCAAGCTTCAGAGTTGTTGCTCTCTGTAAATAAATTTTCAGATTTCTTTTCATTCTTATGTGACCAAAGCACAACTGCAGACTTGGCCACTTTAGATTTATCAAACAATCAAATAAAGGGACAACTTCCTGATTGTTGGAAATTTGTAAACCAGTTATTGTTTCTAGATTTAAGTAACAATAAATTGTCTGGGAAGATTCCTATGTCCATGGGCACCCTTGATAAACTGGAAGCCTTAGTTTTAGGAAACAATAGTTTAATGGGTGAATTGCCTTCAACTTTAAAAAATTGCAGCAACTTATTTATGTTGGATGTCGGTGAAAATATGTTGTCTGGTCCAATACCATCTTGGATTGGAGAAAGTATGCAACAATTGATTATCTTGATCATGCGAGGAAATCTTTTCTCTGGAAATTTTCCTATCGAGTTATGTTTTCTGAAGCGTGTTCAACTATTGGATCTTTCAAGGAATAAGTTGTCAAAAGGAATTCCAACATGCTTAAAGAGATTTAATGCAATGTCTGAAAGGACCATAAACAGAAGTGAAACTATAAATCTTATATACATGAACAATATTACGAACTATGAAGTTTATGGTCTTTTACTTAGTGTTGATTATACACTTGGCATAACATGGATGTGGAAAGGTGTGGATCGCAGCTTTGCAGATCCTGAATTGATTCTTAAGAGCATTGATCTCTCATGTAACGAGTTAACAGGTAAAATACCAAAAGAGATTGGATATTTGGTTGGGTTAGTTTCTTTGAATTTATCAAGAAACAATTTGAGTGGAGAAATTCCTTTTGAGATTGGAAATTTAAGTTCATTAGATTCCCTTGACTTGTCAAGAAATCATTTATGTGGAAGAATTCCTTCTTCTCTTACACAAATTGACGGTCTAGGAAAATTAGACTTGTCACACAACTCTCTCTCAGGAACAATCCCATTGGGAAGACATTTCGATACCTATGATGCCTCTTGCTTTGAAGGAAATAATGATCTTTGTGGTGAACAACTTAACAAAAGTTGTCTGGGAGATCACACAACAGTGAAGCCTCAACAACCAACGGTGCATGGAGAAGATTCTGTTTTCCATGAAGCATTGTACATGAGCTTGGGGATAGGATACTTTGTAGGCTTTTGGGGCTTAATAGGGCCAATACTAATTTGGAAACCTTGGAGAATTGTCTACATGATGTTCTTGAACAGATTTACAAACTGGGTAACTGTAGTGAATGTGCCAAAGTTCTGCAAGTGGCACAAAGCTAGATTAGCAGGTACGTTGTAACCTTTGTTTTTCATATTCATATTTTATTTACTACTGCAATTATATGAATCGGGAACTTCTCATATTCTAAACAAAAAGATCGTATTTACTGTAATCTAATTGTTAAAAAGTTACCAATATAATTCTTTATCCTAACTTGGCAATTTCATTACCCCTAACACATACAATTATTGCCTTCACCGGAGTGTATCTTAGAAGAAAGGAATGATTATTGTTATAATGTTAAATTTTGTTTAATGATTCATTTAAAAGACAATTATTTGGCTAAAGTTATGCAACATGTTTTATTTAGGTGCTTCCATAACAAATTGACGTATAAATGCGATTGATTTCAGTTTTGGAAATAGTTAGTTGAAGAGTTGAATTGTTTAAATTGACTTTATTTAATAAAGTTTCTTTTCGGTGGTGATACTCCGTAAAAAAAAAAAAATAAAATAAAAAAAGATAGTTTCTCTAATGTTTCATGAATCTAAAAGTTTTTGTTGTCCCTGCAGCTCTGGTGATGGTCTCAACCCAATAATAGATGAGTTCTCTGTGCTTTCCTTAATTTTCGTGTCTCGCAGGTAAATATTAGTTTAAATTGAACATACTAGTTTAAATTTTCTGCTAGAGTATTTGAATTGTTGCCTTTCTGCTAAATATTATGTTGTAAGAAACTATGAACTTGTTCCTCTGTGGGTAGCTGTCTCGAATTTGTTTGATGGAGGATGATTTCAGGAAGAAGAATGCTCCTAGATTCTCTGAATTTCTGCATGCTTGGTGAGTATTTGCCTTTGTGTCCTATGTAGGTCTCTGGGAGTGAATCTCATTACACTGTAGTTTGCTCGAGTCTTGGTGTCAGATCTATCCATGAGAATGAATTTGTTAAATCGAAATCTCAACTTTGCAAAGCTTATGATCCACAAGTTTCGAGAGGAGGTGGTGGTTTTGAAGGGTTTCGTCAAGTTCTCAGACAAATATGAAACTTTATGGAGTGAGTTCTTTTAAGTCATTTAGAAAGATTCAGTTCTGGGGAGCTATTTGTAATTGTGAAATCTATTATTGCTTTCATAATTTTTGTAATAGCAAATAATTCACCTGTGATTGTCTTTTGAAAAAGAAAAATCAAATAATGTATATTATTATCACACTTCCTACTTCCTTGTTTGACCAATGCTGATGACAAAGACCATAAGAAGGGTCTGCATTATTTGAAAGTGCTGTTGATCTTGCCATATCATCTGCTTCCTTTTGTCTTAGTAATTCTAGTTGAAATGTCTGCTGCTGATTGAGCAATTATGCTTTGCTGCCATAGTATCTCAATTATTTAACAAAGTTAGTCCTAGGAGAAATATCTGCAATATAACTATCCCACATAAAGGGTATATGTTAGGATCCTTTCTTTGGCAGAAGTAAAACACCCTAGAAAACGGAACAGAAAGAAAGAAAGAATGTATTTCTTTTATAAACATGAATCAGTAAAACAGAACAATTGTACAGAAATGTACCCAAAGGAGCACTCTCCTTTCACACCAAAAAACCTAATCGACTAAAACATATAGAAAAACTCCTCTCATTTCTTCAATTGGAGGGTTATTTATAGTAAAAACAAACAACTACAACTAATCCCTTTCAACCTTGTGACATACATTTGTAACAGGCTTCTAACCAACTAATTCACCCTTTTATTCTTCCTCCTATAATACACTTGTAGGGCCCATTTTGGAAGTTCATTCTCAATCCTAACAGTACCTTCCCCTCAGAAACAACCTTGTCCTCAAGGTTGAACTCAGGAAATTGGCTGCCAATTGTAGAGGCATCTTCCCAAGTAGCTTCCTCTTATGGCCTATCTTGCCACTGAACCAAGACCAGTTGGAATCCAATCACTAAAAATTGAAGCTAGAATTCTATGGAGTTATTCACCACCTCTCGGATAAATACTTTTGTTATAGATCGAGCAGAATACAAATGTTTAAGTAATATGAAATGCCCATACTTAATCTATTGATAAACACCAATGTTGGATCAAAACCCTTTGATTTTTGCAATCCCACAGTAAAATCCATGTTGATGTCTTCCCAAATGGCATTTGGAATAGGCAATGGTTATAGTGATCTAGTTGGATTTAAGGCCTAATACTTGTTGCACTATCATATGTGACAAGTTGCCACAAAATTTGTCACTGTACCCTTCATTCCAACATAGAAAAGAGACCAAAGCCATCCTACAATAAGTTTTTTACACCCTTGATCAATGTCCTTCTATGGGTGAAAAATGGAATTCTTGTAGAAGCTTTGGAATCCATCTTGAAGAAGCTGCCAACACCAACCTTCCTTTATAATACAATTTTTCGTGTTCCAATGTACATTGAGGATGAAAGTTAGGATCTTGTTCAAATCTTCAATTATTTTAGCCAAATCATGATCAACCTTTACTTCCTCATCAATTGCTGAGATATCCTACCAATAAGGCCTGTAAATCCATTGTAATTCATTTTTCTCACTTTGTCTTGAGAGCGCGTCAACCACTCTATTTGAAGCTCCATCCTTATACACAATTCGTATCCTAGTAATTTGGCCAATCAATTTTGTTGACTTTGGACAGTAATCCTCTACTCCAATACATAGAGTAAATTATTTTGGCTTGTAAAAACTATGAATTTTTGTCCTAACAAGTAAGGTCTCCAATGTTAAATGGCCAATACTAAAGCCACAATTCCTTTTCATATACTAACTTGGTGAAGGACGTGTCCTCTAGGGCTTCGCTAAAAAAGGCTATAGACCTCTTTTCTTATAATAACCTTGCTCCTATTTCCTTTCTCAAAGCATCACATTCAACAGAGAAACGTCTAAAAAAATAAGCATGGCTAAAATAAGAGTTGAAGTTACAACTTGTTGTAGTAGCTTAGAAGTTGTTCTTGTAACGACTCGCCATAGTCCCTACACTTAGTGGAATCGCACTATTACTAGTGAACTAAGAGAATATAGAAACTGAACAATTCATACATACATGTGTATAAATATAAATATATTAATTACGTTTCTATGTACAAAATATAGCACCGTATATGTACAGTCATCCCAAAATCATAACCTCCTAGTACCAGTTAAGCACACACAACAGTTACCCAAGAAGGTAACTCTGACACTAGGACAAACTCCTCATCACGCAGAGGTCACCTCGATTCCAAGCTAGTCTTGACCTGCTCCCATACCAAATATGATCATCACAGTCCATCAACATGGAAAAAGAAGGGTAAGTTAAAGTTCAAAAAGTAATCATACAAGTATAGAATAAAATCTATATTACACATGTATCCAAATCAAGTCCCAAAGGAACTTCCATCTCAATCAATCATTCATTCATCAAACATGAAGTCAAACACCATACACTTCATCATCATAACAATCATGCAATACATGCAACTCATGACAGATATCAATGCATATCGATCATCTAATACATCGTCACGCATACACCTAGGAGATCTCCCTAACAGCAGAGCAATGTAAGTGACATCCCAATCCTACCGAAATCACCCCAACCATTTTCACGCCAAATGCGCCTGCTCGGTCATAGCTAAACAGGATATAAATCCTCCATCGGGTTTACTAGAATGATATTACTTACACAATTAGAAGTTCGGATCCACCATCAAGTATAGTACAGCTAGGTAAAGGCTTACCACGACCTTGGCATGCATTACCAAGTCACTTGTAGAGTTCGCCCACTGACTATCTGCAAGGATCCACACACCTTCCCCAGTACTTGGTTAAGGGAATAACCCTCGACCTCATACTCCGCTCCAACACTAGCTAAGGACTTAGAGGAGACTCACCCAACCTAGTGGCCTACCTGAGCACCACTCTCACCCAAATCCAGTGGCCTATTTAAGCACCACTCTCATTTATATCAGTGGCCTATCCAAGCACCACTCTCAAGAGACTCTATGTGAGCTCTTCCAATACAAAAATATTTTCCCTCTCCTCAAGTCCTAGGCTAGACACATGCCATAAGGCATCACATGCAATAGTACATCATACATCATACATGGTCAATCCACCATCGTGATCAATATCATTCTCATATGAACATATACACATGTCATATCATATTTAAACATTCATATATATCAATACAAAGCATACATATGAATCAAGTGCCAATTTACATCATATATAATACATATATGAACCAATATACAACATAGTATCAAGAAACTTTTTAATCCACATGCAATGGAAGAAATAACATCCATGCACCAACAACAGTTCAATCCAAGTCCTAAAAACAACATGTACCCATCTGATTCATCAAGATCGACCAAAACTCCATTTTAGCTCAAAAACCCCGATAATGAAAAATACCCCTCAGATCAGCAAATTAATCTCCTATTCATGCATCAATTGAGTTTCTAAACTCCCATGCAACCAATCCATGAGAATCCTAGTTTCCCTCACCTGAAGAGTGACTTAAAATAGCCAAGAACTAAGAAGAAGTAGAATTCCCTTTCGAAGCTCAACCTGGAAACTTCAATCCACCCAAAGCAAGCTTCCTAGTCTGAATTTCAAGAAAAGACAGAAGACATTAGTGATCCAGAGGAGAAGAAGAATTATACAGAGAAATTAGGGAGAGAAAGGAGCTCACAAACCTAGAGTCCTTCTCTCTGAAACTTCTTTCTAAAACCTCTCTCTAAGTTCTCTTTTTTTTTTCTCCTCAACTGCATGCATGGCTTATTTATAGAAGTATGGAGTGGCCAGAACGACCCATTTTAGATCCGGAACGACCCATTCTGCACTCATTCATCATGAGTAAAATTCACATCCAGAACAGCCCATTCTCAAACCAGAACGGGTCGTTCTGGGGTTACATTTTAACCCATAATGACCATGTTTGAAATGACCCGTTCTCAAACCAGAATGGCCCGTTCCCAACTAGGGTTTATAAGCTTTTTTAGTAGTTTGGAATGGCCTGTTCCAGTTTAGGAATGTCCCATTCTTGTCTACTAACTACTTTACAGTTCTGTTATCTTTCTTTCACACAAAATTATCCCTCTTCAACAAGTCGGTTAGAGTGTAATTTTATGAATGGCCCGTTCCAGTTTAGGAATGCCCCATTCTTGTCTACTAACATTTATAAGATCCACTTTAGTCTTGATTGGAATTTTATGATCATTTTCTCTGTAAGGTGGTAACCTTATAGGTTTAATAAAAATATGATCAAATTCTTCCAAAAATTTCTACAATTGGTCTTCCATTACTAGAAGAAGATCTTTATATCCTCTTTCCTTTTCTCCATAATCAACAATATAGACATAAATTCTACTTCACCATATGGCAATTTAATCAAGGTTTTCCCAGATATCATAGATTTAGCCAAGCTAGGATCCCATTGTATCTAGATGTTTTGTCCTTGTTATACAAATGTCATGTTGAAAGTCCTCCAATTTACCTTTACCTCCCCTAGGGTGGCTAACCAAGTTATTCCCAATATGACATCAATGCCTCCTAAATCAAATAGAAAAAATTCTTCAAATAACTTGTAATTTCCCATGTATATTTTTAAGTTCTTGGAACACTAGTTAGCTTCCTTTTTCCATCCCTCAACCTAACTTGGTAAGGTTTGGTTGTTTCCACTTCAAATCCTACATTATGCACCAACTGGTTGGAAATAAAATTTTGGCTTATTCCACTATCAATCAAGATTAATACTTTTTTGCCTTGAATAATTCCTTGAAGTTTCATGGTTTATGGTTGGGTCCATCCTCCAACTAAGCACATCAATAGGTCCATCCATTCACATGACATTTCCTGCTCTTCATTTCCTTCTTCCTCAAATTCTTCTCTAGATAACGATGGTTAGGCCCAAAAGCTAATCTGCATCAAAAAAATCTTCCTCCTTCCCTTATTTTCAAATATTCAAGATTTGACAAATTCCTTATGCCTTTGTTTCTTGGACAAGAACTCACACTTTCTCTTGGTTTTACTACTAAAGACATGGCTATGGCCTTACTTCCTACTTGTGCATGATGAACCATCACATTAGATGTTAGCGCCTCCCCCAAGGCCCAATCGCAACATAATTCTACCTCCTACTTGGTATCAAAAACTTGTGTTATTGCAACTTAAAGGGACCCTATATGTTCATGCTTCTTTCATTGCCTTTTCTACATCACACGCCACCTTCATTGCATAG